TATCATCTTGAAATTCATCAAAGATTGCTCTGAATGGATATTAAATTTTTAAACATATCATAGCTCGGAGAGTTCTTAACTTAGACAGCCAGATAGTTCCTGAGGTAGTTTTAGTCTTGGAGAGTATTTACTATAAGTTAAAATAAACGTTTGTAAACCCCACCATCAGTACACTCTTTTTCGAAGAAATTCTCCTGCTCAAATAGAATGTTTCTTCTCTTACATTTTACTCGAATGAAATAATAACATTTAATTATATATTTAATTTCGAACAGTAGCGCACAGAGAAACTTTTCAAGAGGGGGAGGTGGGGTTGAAAGTTCACCATTCTTGTATCATGCTCCTTTTGATTTTGTCAATTTTCAGGAACAAAACACAGCAACACAGTAAAAAACTAATTTTTGAATAAATAATTAGCATTAATTAATAAAATTAATCATTAATAACAAATAATTAAATTTGACGTACTATTACTTACGTACTATATACAATCGAAAAAAAATCAAGGGCTTAGAGGGGCGGGTCTGCACCCCCAGGACCCCCCTTGCGTGCGCCACTGATTTCAAATTATTTTGTATCTTTTAAAACTTTATATATATATATATATATGTGGGAGACAACAAGGGGTCCAATACGTTTCTCTTTCTTATGGTTTATTTAACATTAAACAAAAATTAATTAAAAAGGTAGATAAGTTTTTACAGATAAGTTTGACGATGATATTCAGAAGGTAACGCCTGCTCGCGCACCTCTCGCGTTCTCCTTTCTCTCTCTAATGTCCAAGAGTTTTTGTTTCTCTTCCACTAATTCACAAGTTTCAGTTTCAATTCATTGCGCCTGCGCGCGAAGACTGCGTTGCTTTTGGCTGCATGCCATAACGGCCATTCTGACTGTACGCTGTCCGCAGCGGTATTTCCATGGAGACCAGAGGAGAATCTGAAACATACAAAAAAAAAAAACGGAACAGACAAGGACTATACGACAAATATATAGAGATTAAACATATCATAATTTTTCTGAACTAGACAGTTTCTCCATCATGTGGAGGCACCTCTTCGACATCCGGAAGGTTCCACAGGAAAACATTGTTTTTCACAGGCATAAGAACGTCTTTTTTAACAAGTTGATCTTTGGTTGAACGCATCGATATTTTCCTCTGTAGAGTTCTGGACGTCTGTTCAAAACGATTTCTCTTTTTCCTTCGCTTCCACTGCCAAGGCTCAAAAATTTTTCGGAGCAACACAAACCGTCGATAATTACTATTCATAGGTGAAGGGGTAGGAGATTGGGAGATAAATTCCACGGAACTCGTTTTCATGGCACCATTGGCTTTCTTACACAATACTATATCAGAACATTTTTCTCTTACAATACTCAATTTTAACTTAGTAATCTTAATTTTATTACATTTATAATCCTTAATTAGAGAACTCGAATCATTTCTAGTATTAAAGTTTTTAACATGTGACAAATCATAACTAGAGTTTTCTATCATATTTGAAACAGAAACATTTGGAAAAAGAAACACCACAATCTGCACTCAAAGAGGATTCACTTTCACTTAATAAAACATCGCTCTTTGCGTGGCCTAGTTTCTTTATTTCAGAATATACACTGGGATGTATAATAAATTCTTCGGTCAAGGTCGGTGATATTGCCGTTCTCACACTTAAGCTAGGAGAGTGTTGATTAAGAGAAATATTTATGGGTTTAACTTCTACCATACGCTGTTCGCCAAAACATGAACTTAATGTTATGATTTCTTCGGAAGGTGTTTGCACTCTAATTAGTGAGGAATTTAAAACTGGGATCTGGCAACCTGAATCAATCAATGCTGTTACGGGCTGATTTTCTACAAAAATGTTTACTTATTGAAGATTTGCGCATTCATCGCTATTTTGTTTTTCGCTCTCGATTTTCAAAGTATTCACGTTTATTTTATTATGGATGTGATCATTAGATTCTTTAGGTTTAAAACGCTTCTCACAGTCTCTTGCGCAATGAGATGAATCACCGCATATAAAGCAATTTTTATTTTCTCTTTCAAGATATTGGGGATAGTTCTCTTTAACCTTTGGTTTAAAGTTTTGTGATCTATTTTTAAAGGGGTCTTGGGTATATCCATAAGTAATAGGAATTTCTTTATGTGATCCGCTTCTAGATGAAATATAAATATCACACTCTTTAGCTAAATCAATAGGCCTAAACCAATCTTCTGCTTCTCGAATGCCAATATGAGTTGCGGTTTCCTTATTTAAAGTTTCAAATAATTTATCAGAAATTATAAGATCACATAGAGATTCAAAGGAATTAACTTTTCTTAACGAACAATAATATTGGAAGTTTGCCGTCAATCTTGCAGCAAATTGGATGTATGTCTCGCCTGATGATTTTACAGCATTTTTAAATGAGTTTAAACACTCGCGAGGGGTTAATTGGAATTCTCTGAGTACTATAGATTTTAGTTTTTCATAGTCATTTAATTCCTCTTCTTTAATATACAGTAAGACGTTATGAGCTCTTTCGCCCAGAAGATTTATTAAAATTTCAGATTTATATTCGTCATTTATTTTCTTGGTTAAAAATGCGCGTTCTAATGATTGGAAGAACAGATTAAAATTTTCAGATCTGGTGGGAACAGGAAGAGATAAAGTTTTTATACTTTTTATCATATTTTCTATGTTAGTTTCGAACTGTTTTTCTTCGACTTTAGCTGCAGGATTTAAACTTAATGCTTTATTTTTAGCCAATTGAAGTTCGATTTCTTTTTCTAATTTTGCTAACTGAAGTTTCGCGAGCTCAATTTTTTGTTCTGAAGTTACCTCTCTTTCGTTTTGCGATACTCTCTCATCTATACAGTTTTGAATTAAAGTTTTAACGAAATCTGGATCACTTTCAAATGTACTACTGTTCTCAATTTTAGTCTTTAGTTTAACTATAGTGTCAGTACTTTCCACAGTACCGTCTAGCTCCTCAACAACTCTTATGAGATCCTCTTTAAGAGCGTTTTTATACATTTTAGAAAAATTTAGAAAGATCCTACCTTTTTTTTTTTTCTGGCTCCCTTGTTGCTCGCACGTACGATGTATCCAATAAAAACGTTGATTCCGCTGATTTCACCTTTTCGCAGGTAATATAGTTGAAATTGTGGTTCCGGCCTCTACACAGGCGGATTATTCACACTGAGTTAGTTCCAACCTCTACACAGGCGGGATTTTGAGGGTTCGTTGAAAATACACCTCTACACAGGTTATTTTGTTATTTGTTCCGACCTCTACACAGGCGGAATATTTGTCGATGGTTCGTTGAAAAATACACCTCTACACAGGTTATTTTGTTATTTTTTCCGACCTCTACACAGGCGGAATATTTGTCGATGGTTCGTTGAAAAATACACCTCTACACAGGTTATTTTGTTATTTGTCCCGACCTCTACACAGGCGGAATGAAGTTGAAAAATTCAACCTCTACACAGGTTGAACGAAGTTTCCGAAAATGGCGGAGCGTCTCCTCACGGACGCTTTTGTTCATTGTCCAGACTTTGGTTCAAAATCGAAATTTTATCGATCCCGGCCGAGCCCCCATAATTTGTGGGAGACAACAAGGGGTCCAATACGTTTCTCTTTCTTATGGTTTATTTAACATTAAACAAAAATTAATTAAAAAGGTAGATAAGTTTTTACAGATAAGTTTGACGATGATATTCAGAAGGTAACGCCTGCTCGCGCACCTCTCGCGTTCTCCTTTCTCTCTCTAATGTCCAAGAGTTTTTGTTTCTCTTCCACTAATTCACAAGTTTCAGTTTCAATTCATTGCGCCTGCGCGCGAAGACTGCGTTGCTTTTGGCTGCATGCCATATATATATATATATATATATATATATATATATATATATATATATAAGGATAATTAAATTAGATTAAAAATTAAATTCCCTATCTAGCAATTAACTCAGCTTTTCCATTTCATCTTCAAGTATCAAATTAATCACCCATTTATTTCTTCCGAACATATGGCCTAGGCAATAAACATGTCTAAATCCAGATCGTTAGATATAATAGCCCTATATGTCAGCATTAACTTTCAAAAACAATTATAAAAGCCGCGATATATATATATATACTTACCTCATCGGTGTTTTAAGTGCTAACCCACTTAGTTTTTACGGTGGCGTTATTTTTTCTCTCTCCCCTCTCAGCGTCAGAACTTGTATAGATTTCATCAAATGAAGATTTTTTTTAAAACTAAGTCTGATTCTCGCTCAAAAATATGTCATATATATATATATATATATATATATATAATGTTTAGCTTTAGAGAGAGGGGCGTCATTTTTCATTTTTGTCCGGGGCGGCAAAACTACTAGAGCCGGCCATGGTTATCCTTTCTTCATTTTTTTTGCCAAAAAATTCCAGTTAAATAATTTTTTACTTTAATGATATTTTTAAAATAATTTTATGTATACATTCTATAATTCAGGTGAGAGTAAGTACAAAACATTATTCAAGTATACACTTTTTCAAAATCACAGTGCCGAGTCCAGTCGGATGCCTCAAATATAATATTTTTATAATAATGTAATTTAGCAGCACACATGCATTTTTCAAGAGGGGGTCGAGGGTCGAAAGTTCACCATTCTCGTATCATACCCCAACGTATTCTTTTGATTTTGAAGATTGCAGGGAACAAAAAACAGTAATATATGTATATATATATAAATTAAGAATTCTCTCCTACTTATATAGGTCAAGGAAAAAAAATCTTATTTTAGTTACTTTTTATTGAATAATTACAATTAATATAAATATGTATATACATATGACAGAATCACAATATTAAGTGACAAAATAGAAAGCGATTTTGCTTGCAGTTTTCCGTATTTTCCGTTCAATATAGGGCGTTGGACTTTTATTTGTTTGTTACTATTTATTCATTAATTTAATTTAATTATTCAAAAAAATAGCATAGTAAGAAAGAAATCACATTCTCAGAAATTAGGCCATCCCAGGTGGGATTCGAGCCCCAGATGTTTGAATTAGAAGTTCAACGCGCAATCCATTGCGCTACAAGGACACAACGAGCGATTTTCCTTTTTATATATGGTGTTGGACTATTATTTTGTTTGTTACTATTTATTCATTTTTTAATTAAATTAATTAATTAATATTTGAAAAAACAGTCTTAACATCAAGTGTCATTCCACTACAAGTTTAAAAAAAATGTATTTGAACTTGAGTAGATGGATAGAAAGTATTTTATAAACGATTGAAAATTTGAACAAGATATACATATAGGGAGAGAGTGAACTGATATTAGGAATAGAAAAAAAAATTACAAGATTTCTTTTATTGGTAATAGCAGACTTCTACAAAAACAAAACTTATATTTTCTTGGAAAACTAAAAGGGAAGCAATTTCTTCTTTTAAAAATATTGTTGATGTAAAAATAATTCTAACTGCCCATTCGAATTCTTGTACGGAAGAATGAGACTTTTCTGTTTGCTAAGTTTAGATAGTTATTTGTATTCTTTTTTATTTTTGAAATATCAATTAGCTATTGATCTATTTTTGAAAAGATTCTTAATAGAAACCGAAAAATCTGCAATTCAATATAGATAGTAAATACCTCTTCTTATTTATCAAAAATGAAGACAAACAGAACTTCGTATTCATTAAAGAAAGGCTTGTTAAGCGGACTCTGTTTTGTGTTTAGAAACAAAATAAAAAGTAATATGCATGTTATGTACTCTCATTCGAGAATTTCCTATTTTCAGTTATTTGTTTACTCAAAAGTTTCAAAGCTATTAGGTGATTTCTTTTCAAAGCAGTCTTTTCTTATGTAAAAATTCCTGCTTCTAACTTTTATATTTTCGAAATCTTTTCTGGTATTTTAATAACGAAGTGTACAATATGAAAATATTTGTTTACAAGTTCTATGAAAACACGCTAAAGCACAATTAGCTTGCAAACAATATGGAAATAAATACTTTTATTTCTGTTTTAAGTTTAATTAAACACAAATGAGAAAGAATGAATGCTAGCAGTCAATTCAAGCTTAATTTATTTTTATGTTCTTAAGGTATCCGACTACGTTCGGAATCATGATTTTAAAAAAGTGCATAAATGGATATTTTGTGTGATATTAGTGTCATGATATTTAGTGTCACTTAGATTAGAATACATATATAAAATTTTTTTAAGGATAGAAGGACAAAAAATATTATTTAAATACAATATTTTGGCAAAAAATAACTTAGAATAACCTTTTTTTCAAAATGACCTTCTTTTGTGAAAAATGCTTCTATTATAATAATATTTAACCTGTATATAGCTCAGTCCTCTGTACAGAGGCTCAACTATGATTTTTGAAAAATTCACATTATTTTCAGAGTTACTACCAATTGAAATAATTATCGGCATTTTTTCTTAACATTTCTTCCCTCTGTTGCAGTAAAATATGGGTAAATTCATTTCTAAGTTATATATTTCAAAAATTCTAGTTCAGCCTCTGTAGAGAGGTCTGAGCTATATAGAGGCACAAAATATTATTATAATAGAAGAATTTTTCATAAAAGGAGAATGTTTTGAAAATTGGTCATTCTCTGTTCATTTTTTGTCATAATATTGTACTTAAATAATTTTTTATTGTAATACTATTCTTAAAAAAATTTTATAAACGTTTTCTAATCTAAGTGACACTAAATATCATAAATGTTATCCATTTACACACTTTTGCAAAATCACGGTTCCGAACGTAATCGGATACCTTAAGGTATCCGACTACGTCCGGAACTTGATTTTGATAAAGTGTACTAATGATTTTTTTTTATTGGTATTTTAGTGTTGCCTAAATTAAATTTATTTAAAATTGCTTTAAAAATATTATAACAATAAAGTTTTTTAATACAACTTTTCGGTCAAAAATGTGAAAAACTGATATTTTATTCAAAATCTCTTTCTTTAATGGAAAATGCTCCTATTATTAAAATAGTTTGCCTATACATATTGCAAAGGCATTAATTAGGATTTTTGAAAAATTCACAATACTTTCAGTTATTATCAATTGAAATAATAATCGGTTTTTTCTCTGTTAAAATTTCTCTACTCTTATATACTAAGATATGAATAAATCCATTTCTAAATTATATATTTCAAATATCCTAGTTAAGGTTCTGTACAGAAGTCTTATAGCTATATATAGGACAAATACTATTATTAAAGAAGAATTTTCCATAAAAGGACAACATTTTAAATATGTATCGCTTTTTTCATTTAAAAATTTTTTAATGAAAAATATTCTTTAAACAATTTTATATGTATATTCTAATTCAGGTGAGACTAAATGTTAAAAAAAAATTATTTATACACTTCGCGCAATATTAGGATCTTGTTCATAGTTCTTCCCCTTCGACTCAATCCATGACTTCCTTCGACCAATCAGAAGGATCCTACTCATCAGCAGGAAAATTACAACCTAAGTCAACATCACAGATTTCCCATGGTACAGGCTGGAGAATCGTGACGCAGCCCAAGTGCCTCAAGACTTCCACGTCAGGTGGTACTAAATATCAAATAAATTATTAATTGCTACGCTTTTTTTAAAATTACGTTTCCGAGCGTATTCGGATATCTTACAAAAAGTGAAACTTTATAAAAAACATTTATGTCTAAAAATAATGTTATAAATGCTTTTTTTAAAATTTAAAATTTTGAAAACAATGTTTTTAATTAAATAATGTTTTAAACAATGTTTTAACAATGTTTCTTTTAATGAAATAAGCTTACGAAAGTTACAAAAATGCACCTTAGTCAAAAATGTATAATATTTTTTTATTCTTACTATTAGTTCACACTCTCCCTATATATATATTCCTTTATATATGTATCTTATTCAAATTTTTAATCGTTATTAAAATACGTTTTATTCATCTACTCAAGTTCAAATACATTGTTTTAAATTTATAGTGGATGACACTTGATGTTAATACAGTTTTTTCAAATATTAGCTAATTAATTAATTGATGGTAACGAACAAAAAATATAATAGTCCAACATCATATATAAAAAGGAAAATCCCTTATTGTGTCCCTGTTGCGCAATGAATAGCGCGTTGGGCTTCTAATCCAAAGGTCGTGGGTTCGGTTTCCATCAGGGATGGCCTTGTTTCTGATAATGTTATTTCTTTTTGACTATATTATATTATTAGAATAATTAAATTTAATGAATGAATAAATAGTAAACACACACACAAAGAAAAAATAATCCAACACCATAAATAGAAAGAAAAATGAAAAATCCTTTTCTATTTTGTCACTTATAATATTGTGATTCTGTCATATGTATATACATATTTATATTTTAGTTGTACTTATTTAATAAAAATTAACTGAAATAAAATTTTTCTTTGTTGACCTAAGTAGGAATTGACGTAAATTTTTTTTTTATATTACTTGTTTGAAATAATTATCTAATTCCTTCAAGTAATACAGAATTAAAATTTACATGAAACTACATATATGAGTATTAAACATTGTAACAAATGCGATAAATTTTCCTAGTTGTTCAAACCAAGAATAGAAAAACTTTTTTTTAAACCTCCTTCACAAATAATTTTGGAAGATTAATAAATAACAACTCAAAACAAAATATTAAGATTCCCAACTTCCTTCCAAAAATAGCCGTTACTTTAATTAATGCTAATCTCACCGTACTTCTCACGTGTAACTTTTCCTTTTTGAGACCTTAGTGGAAGCCGATTACAATTTTTTCCTCTCCGTTTCTGTTTTTGTCGCAAAAGCTTGCGTGCTATTCTTTTGGCCGATTCGCCATTTTCCCAGGATAATGTTTCCTACAGTGACAGTCAAGTGGAAAAAGGAGTTTCCGTTCCTCTGCCAGAGAATTGCTTAATATCTCTTCCGTGGACTCAAGTGTCGTGGGAGACCTTTCCTGTAACTGTTGGGGCTGATTGCCGCTTATCCTTAGGTCCTTCTAATACCAGGAGCGATTCGATTGCGATTTAGATGGCTCAGAAAATGAATAGTCATTTGGAAGAAGAGGTTTTTCCGAATGGGTGTAATGTAGCGCTCGTGTAAGCGTATCGACGACGATTTATTCTTACTTTTGTTTTTTCAGGTGAGGTCCTACCTTCTTATTGAGGGGGGGGATCAATATGACTAGGGCGCTGTGGACATGGTTGAAAGAAAGTCTGTGTAAGAAAATGAAGATTCCTTCTCCAACCGAGTTTGATCCAGAAGATTGTATTTGATCTAAAATTTAAATTGAAAGATTAATTTAAAATATGCAAATGTATTTAAATAAACTGTGATTCATTACAGACAATTTTATTGCTAGATTAATTTAAAATATTATAAATTCTGTTTAAAATATTACATATAAATTACTGTTCGAAAGAATGACCATTTTTATACTTTAAAAACAAAATTATTGGAATTAATGGAAGCCCAATTCTATGTAAAGATTTTTTTCCCTTTATTGTATGCTCTGAAACGAACATGAGTTCATGTTAGTGTTGGGCGCTGGCGTACATAAGGGGGTTTGGGGGTTTCAACTCCCTCATTGCCTAACAAATTTTTAATTCTTACCATGGAGAATACCCCTCGGAGTTTTAGTCTACGTGTTTTTTAAAATGTAACCCTTCATAAGAGAGATGTGTACGCGATTGGTGTTAAGAATCTCAGTCAACATCAATATAAAAACAACTTTATATTTTAATGTGCTATTATCTTATTGATACAAGCTTAATAGGAGCGAAACAAGAATCGAAATCCAGCCAATAATAATTAAGATTCACTTAAGGTATCCGACTACGTTCGGAACCATGATTTTAAAAAAGTGCATAAATGGATAATTTTCATGATATTTAGTGTCACTTAGATTAGAATATATGTATAACATTGTTTTAAGGACATTTTGACAAAAAAAATGATTCAAATACAATATTTCGGCAAAAAATTATAATAGAAGCATTTTTCACAAAAGGAGAATATTTTGAAAATGGGTCATTCTATGTTCATTTTTTGTCAAAGTATTGTACTTAAATAATTTTTTCTTGTTATACTATTCTGAAAAAAATTTATACACGTATTCTAATCTAAGTGACACTAAATATCCTAAATATTATCCATTTATACACTTTTGCAAAATCACGGTTCCGAACGCAGTCGGATACCTTAACTGACACTGAAATCTTCGATTCACTGCCAATAGGGTTCCAAATTTAATGTTATACTAAGTAGCAGGCCTACGAAAATCCACGAGTTTTTATTTAACTCGTTATTAATCATAAAAAAAATATATATTCAAAGACTTTCTTTACGCCTATATAACCGCAAAAACTTTCTTTAGAATTATATTTCAATAACCAACCAATCTTATTTCTTAATAGTTTAAGTAGCAAATTTGATCTATATATATATTAGAGATCCTTCACAATGCAAGATTCTCAAATCCGTCAAGCAATTCGTAAAATAGATTTTCTTAGAGATCAGTTTGAAAACACGTTGAGAACAAGTTACACCTTCACTAGAATAATTTTTTTTACTTTTAATTGGATGAATATGTCCTTCCCATATCTTATTAATGCACTGAAAATTATTATCTAAAAATTACAGACCTTCTTCATTTGTTTCCTTTTTTTTAACTATATGGTATATACATTATACAACAACTTATTTGGAATTATATGAAAAAAAAAAAAAAGAACGCAAAATGTTTGTAAGCAATTATCGAACAGCAATTTAACAAGAGCTATATGATATTTTTTAATGAACCTGTTTCTAATTAGCTAAATCTAAAACATTCAGTAAAGACTCGTTAAAAAAATGTCTCACAACATGCTTTTTTTTGTATAAAATTCTAAACGCACATTTTAAAATTCTTTCATAAATCTAAAAAAGTTCCAATTCATTCTATTATATGGAAGAATAAGGATTGGATTTTATATATTATATATATATATATATATATATATATATATATTATATAGGATATAAAAGTTAATTAAGAAATTTACTTGAGTTATTATGTCAGGGTAATTGACGTTGAAAAGTATTCAACTTTGTTTATATTATAATAAAAAAGCTCCTCTCTGTTTATATAGCAACAAACTTCCTGGAAATGCAACATTATTACCATATTGAATAAATCAAAAATTCGTCACAGTTGTTTGAAATCCGTGCAATAATTGGTTGTTATTCAATGTCCTATGCAGGATATATTATGCTAAGTACAAGGTGTTAGAAATGGAATTAAGAAAAATTGATTAATATCCAATGATTGCTTTTTTTTTTGCATTTATATTTGCTGATTTCTTAAAAATGATACCTTCTTAAGAGTGACTTAAATAAGTTTGCGCTAAATAAATAAAATGCACCAATCTATAGTTTGGTTGATCGATATTTGATTGGCGTTTAGGCAATGTACGGCCAAGATTCGCCAAACACTCGTTATTTTGCGAGCAACTAAGTATATTTTGCAAAGAATTGTTAGAAATATACGAGTATATGTATCTAGAATTTAACCGAACATGAGGGGGGGGACGGTGATAAAGGTAAGTAAAAAAATGATAGGAGTGTTGAAAATGGGGAAAGACGGCTAGAAGAGATCTCTTGTGGTGCATTACTCATGTTTACCAAAAACTGCAAACCCCACGGGAGTGAAAATCTCTCGAAACCCTTCACGTGAATTCTGTATTTATTCGAAGAAAATAAAGCCCTTGTAGATAAAGCATAAATGAAAAAAGTAGAGGAATGTAGGCCTTTTTTCCTATAAAGGAAAAAGTATTATATATTTTTATGTACATATCATTGTTTAGGATTTTAAAATAGAGACTTCAACTATATTATTTCCCTCAAAAAGAAAATTGATTTGCATCAAGAAACACCTATAAAAATTATATTTTTATGTTTACGACAAAAAAAGACAATTAAAAAAAAGACCTTGCATTTTTAATACGTAATTATTACAATACCAAATACCAATTTGCAAGAACCGCAAATAACACCTTTAATAAAACAAAATGAATTTGACGTATTAAGATTCGAATGCTTCAATATTTCTACAGATTTCTTTCTGAGAACAAGCCTTTCACCTCATCAGTTGAATAAAATGACATGTTACTAATTAATAGGTCTCAGACAACACACAAACAAGGTTAAGACACGGGATTAATTGATGTAGGATCATGCTTAAAAATAAGATGGATGTATCCAGGAAACATCTTATTAATTCTTCTCTCCTGTTCGAAACAAAAGATTCCAATATCAAACAATGACTTTAACAAAGGAACAAAATCATTCTTAATGGAAATTCGATTAGGCAAGCAAAATTTTCATCCAGAATCTGAAACCTACACGTTCCTAAATTGCACATGGGATTTCCTCCGAAGATCGACTAATTTCACCTCCAAAGAACAATTTGGGGAATTTCAGTTCACGTTCGAAATCCCAGCATTCAATTCATTTCCAGCAATCTTATCTCCATTAAAGCATCCAAGCATCCTAACCCGATGACACACCTTGCTGAAAGTACTTGATGAGAGGGAACACTATGCCACTGTGCCATTCGCACTTCAAAATTCGAGAGAGAGAGAAACTTTCTGTCATTAAGAGTTGAAGAGTAATCATTCACCCGTAGCAGATACGAATCTTGTTGTAGAGCTTTAAGTATTGTTGTGGAACTCATCCGTCCTATTTAGTTGCTGCCATGTCTGGAATCTAAAATTGATTCCTTGAAAGCAAGAGTTCCATGATATAAGGGAGGGAAGAGTGTATTTATGATGAGATTGCAATTAAAGTACTGCTGAACGCTCTGTAGGGTGAAGGTGATTTCTAGCGTTAAATGGTCGTCTGTTTCCCTTGTATCAAAAGTGGAAGGCTTACGTGAGGGAAATGTTATTGGGGAAAAGAGCAGGATTATGTAATAGGGGAACAATGCTCATTAGGGGAAGTTTTAATGACTATTGTTCATGTAAGCTGCTTTATTTTTACCCCGAGAAGATTATCGAACATAGTTTCAAGTATTTATTGCTTTTCAAGGAGTTTTGTATTTTCTTTTCATCATAAGGGTTTCTTATCAAGGTGACTGAGTGGACCATCCAGGATTGATGCATCATGTCATTTTGAACCATGTGATAAGTG